AATATAGAGGAAAACCTAAATACGTTATACTAGGTAAGCATATAAATACAAACATTAAAAGTAAGAAAAAAAAAAAGCTACGCTGGATGAATGTATGTACTTTATCTTGAAAAATCAATATTTAGCTAATTAAGACACCTGCACGATAATTTAGACCCAGAACACTCACCAGGCATAAATTAAAGCGCATAGGGACTTCACACAGGGAAGGAGAGTAAAAATGAATAAAGCGCTGTTCACACACTCGCAACCATTAGCACCGAGAGAAGACCAGACCGGCTTTTAAGCCTCTTCCGACGGCGTAAGACCGGATGCGCTGCTGCGGGGCAAGTCCTACGCCGTCGCGAGAGGCTTAAGCACCGATCTTGACTCTCTCGGTGCTATACTTGGTTGCACCGACGAAGGCAGCTAGCTTTAGGCCTACCCACTGATCATTCCATCCAGAGCTCGGCGTTCTCGCGTCCCCTGTCGTCTCCTCGTCTCCCTCACTTTCTCCGCGCACAGTGGGTAACTAAGCATCAACCGTCCGCTATTGAGGAGTTTCAGCGAATATAGGGGGCGCTCCGATCGATTCAACATGGCGGACGAGAGGGGGATAGATTTGCGACGCCCGTAGACCGGTAGCGTATAAATTAAACAAAGCGTGTCGTTCTCTGTTTCTTGCCGTGTGCGAGACGATCATCGTTTCAACCAAGACCTACCGTGATGCTACAGATGAAGTGTTCAAGCCAGTCGAAGGCAAGAAATCTTGCCATAGTTAAGATATGTGTGCAAGTGTTCGACGTGAGCTCTCACGCTGGTGCAGCTGTCATCAAGTTGAACCGAATGTACGCGGGTCCAAAGAAAGGTACATATCAACAATGTTCGCGCGTTGGAACTATGACGAGTACTTTATCTAAAACTAAACTTATCGGTCTGCGAAGACAAACATTTTCGTTGACGTTGCTTAGATGATGTAACCATTCAGGCCTCGCATTAAAAGGTGTTGCGAACTCTTCGGTTGTTCTAGTTAATTGTGCTAAAAAGCGGTTGGATGGGAAGTATGACAGCTACAGCATACAAGGGACGATTGAGGTCTTTATCCCGCGTTCTATATATGTATCGAAACATCGGTATCCTTGGTGTTATATTGCGATCAGCTGGTCGCTGATCGTCCTGTTTTTACGCATAATGTAAACAAGCCCCGGAAGCGCCAATCTCATTTCGATGTGCTTGTGCACCCCTACAAGCCTCGTTTTGGCTCTTCTGGAAAGCTTTATTGTAATAGCAATAGTCTCATCTGTTATTCGAGTTGTATGTGCCACGGTGAAATCTGCGGTGTGTGTGATCTGCTGACAAACAAGTCTGTATTAAATGCGAGAAGGAAAACGAAGGTAAAGTTTTTTTTTAACTGTTTTCTTTTTACAGAAAGGGGCAAAGCTTCTAAAACAAGAGCAACCTAAGCTGATATTTGAGTGTGCTCAAGAATGAATGGCAAAAGGTGCTTATGCTAAGAGGTAGATGTATGCAGTTGATTTTCTGTTTGCCTCTGCATTGTAAATTGGGAGATATGTATCCGCAGAACACACGTGTCCTTTTGAAAATGTCTTCTATTAGGGCAAAAATAGGTTTTCATACACAACCGAGGAGTTCGCAACACCATTTATTGCGAGGCCTGAACGGTTACGTCATCTAAGCAACGTCAACGAAAATGTTTGTAGCCGCAGACCGATAAATTTAGGTTTAGATAAGTATGCGTCATAGTTTCAGCCTCAAACACGCAACATTGTTGACATGTACCTTTCTTGATGACAACTGCACCAACGTGAGAGAGCCCACGTCATCGAACACCTGCACGCATATCTCGACTATGGTATGGCAAGATTTCTTGCTTGAAGTGAAGATCCTCTCGCTACGACTAGCTACGACCACCCACCGCAGCGATGCAGGCATCGAAAGGGCGCAACGCAGTCAGTCGCCGTCACCCGACGCTGCTGTTCGTTTGGCATTCACGGCCTTCCGCCCAGGTGCTTCGTTTGTACTTGGCACCGACTGTTATTTTCTGTGCTTGTGTGTGCTCAGTGGCTGGATATGGGCCTCAAGAGCAGTTCTTCAGGCTCAATAGTGTTGGCCGAAGAACTTCTGAAGAAAATACCACCCAGGAAAAAAAGCATGAAGACGCAACGCACCAGCTTGGCGGACTATGCACTGGGCGCGGAAATCGGGCCCTGCGGTTTATACACCAAATGCAAACTATCTAAACAAAACAAACATTTTTAGGCTCAAATTGGCTTCTGCGGACTATACGCCTGGACACTGGTGCCTGTTATTGTGCGTTTATATTCACTGCTGTTTCTTGTGGCTTCCTTCCTGTAATGATGCAGAGGGGTCCACTGAACCTTGAAATAAAGTTATTTAAGCACATCTAGATGCAATGTCCCTTGAAGCCAGATGAGCAGGGAAAAGGTGTGCCATTACCTAATTTGCCAACAGCACACCAATGGTCAAGATCAAAACTCACCGAGTCAATGGGCAGTTTTCCACCACAATATTTATTGCCGCGTAATCACCAATTTGGTCCATTAAACATCTTGAGGCTGTAGCCTATAGCACGTCCATTCTGGATCTGCAAAGCTTATGCTGTAGACATGCATCATCACATGAGCACGTTTCTTATCAATCTTAAACGTAAAACGCTAGTTATGCAACGATATTCCCATATCACATTTTTAGCAAATTGAATGGTCCCACCTGTCACACTGTCAGCTTTGGAAGTAAACCAATTCACAATACCACCAGTGGCATACATCGTGCCAAGCATTAGTGCCGCATGTGGCACAGAAATGTCCTAACTAGGGAAGCAAACTTAATTGATCGTGTTGATTAAAGCACTTAAGTACGGGAGAAATTATCAATCAAAGAAGGTCACTCGAAAGGGAAGTTTTCTCGCTGAACAAATATGATTTTTTATTGGGCGTTCCGCAATGTAAGGCCGAAGACATTCACTCCGTGATCGGTACAAAAGCATTTGCTTAGCAGTCGGTCGTGCGTGCGAAAAACAACAAAAACAAAGGTGGATTAGAAACGCGATAGATTCGCCTTTGCACGGAGTACTTACACTCAAAATCGTGTCAACATAAAGCGACTATGGCCCACCTTGCTAGCAGCAATCTTAAAATTTATCCGTGTAGTCGTCGCACCTGTGCACCAACCGAAAGCGTTGCTGCGAGCCCCTCCGCCGTCAACTTTGAGTCGCCGTTGAGTCTGAAGAACTGCTCTATGAGGTCCATATCCAGCCACTGAGCACATACACAAGCACAGGAAATAATACTCGGTTCCAAGTACAAGCGAAGAACCCGGGGCGGAAAGCCCTGAATGCCAAACGACCTGCGTCGGGCGACGGCGACTGACTGCGTAGTACACAGGTTGCGCTCCTTCGACGCCTGCATCGCTGCGGCGGGTGGTCGTAGCTGGTCGTAGCAGATCGTGTCAGCTCTATTGCTCGTACCGGAACACTAGAGCCGCGTAATATTCCTGCTGCCGAAGTTTATAAGCCTACGTTCGCGGCCAACGCATTTACACCAAGCCGACGCCCAGCGAACCTATCCCCCTCGTTCTCCTTCGGCGACCGGCCGCCAGGGCGGTGACACCGTCGCTGAAACTCCTCAATTGTCTTTTATTTTTTTCCCATGGCGTAGTTTACGGCAGCGGAATGTGCCATCGCCATGACTGACACTGAACACGACGTTCGACGTGTTTACGTCCTGCTCAGTGCAGAACCTTTCTTTAGGTGGGAGCATACGTTCAGCCTCCTCTTGCAGTTCAAAATTCCGAGATACCATATCGACGCATATATATGTATTCGTTTTTCCCAAGAATTACGAGGGACTGGAATAAGCTTCCACAAAGTGTCGATAAACTGTCCACGGGAATTTACAAATGCTATTTCAAATTCATGTAGTATAATCTCGTATATTTTCTTGCTCTCGCCAGAGGAAGTGATAATTAGTGTTGACTGTTTGGATTTTTTTTTTTTTAGTGCTACTGAAGTGTAAAGTGTCTCAGTTACAGTTTCTTTTATTAACTACATACACGCCTAATGGGCGGATTATTCCGTTCATTACTTGCTTTCTATTGTATATTTTAGGTGAACTTCTATATTACATGCGAGGCGCACCAGATTTCTCAGGGTCCCCTCAGTATGTTAGAATGGCGATCTCCAGTCAATAAAAAAAGTGCCGTCTGCTTTATTAATTTCACATAAATCAAATCATCCCCCTCTAAAAAAATATAATACAAAAATTGACAGAACACTACAGTCATTTTGAGACGAACTAATGCTTTGCCACATGCCAAGCAGGTCTGTACAAGCTCGGCCCATGAATAGCGACTGCTAAGCTCCTGCGCCGACTCAACTCAGCCGCCGACTATACCACCTCCTCCAGATGGCGGCACCTCCGCCATTGTGTGCCGGTTCGTCCGCGGGACTTCCCCCAATTAATCCGTCGGCAAACTCCGGGGCTCGGGTTGCGACGGCCGCTAATTGGGTGCCGACGGCACGCGCCGAACATCCGAAACCCGAGACATCCAACTCCCCCTTCTCCTTCTTTTCTCGTTCCGCGCAGCACCACGTGACCTCTCTCCCTAGCCTCGAACCGCGGCTGCCGCGTAGCTCCGGGAGGCGTGCGGACGGGCGAAGGAATGCCAGGGCGCCTAAATTTTTAAGAGAGGGACCAACTCAAGCCAATTCAGAAGCTTCTGGAGCAGATTAATTCTAACTGCGCATGCGCTACGTCGTCGCGTGAAGAGGAGGAAAGGCAAAGTCGCTTGCAAACGATTAAAGTTCTCGTCCCCTCCTCGCTCAAGAATCACGTGACCCGGGTGCAGTAGTTCGAAGCGCTCCGGAATCCAGGCACACTAAGGAGTGCTCGCGCCGCCAAGCGCCGCCACGGGATGGCGCTCCGTGCGGAGGGTGCTCGGAAGATGCGCTTTTCGTGTCCCAGGGGGATTAGAGTCGCATAAATCAGGCTGCGCTTTTTATTGGCTCACTGGAGCCGGCAGTTGGGTCGCTCTTGCGCCGGCTGCAGCCGCTGCCGCCGAGTGGCCAGAGCCATCATCTCGTCCTCTTCGATCCTGCGAAGGACGAGACGCCCGTTAGAAGATTCTCTACACGGTCCCCTCTACAAACAAAATACCACGCGCAAGGAACACCTATCGCACCCGTTTGGTACGTGCGACGTCGGATGTTAATGCCCGTTCACACACTTGCGACTTCTTAGAGCTTGCAATCTCTTACGGCGAGAGAACACACTGGCACGCTGCGCCATCTATGCGGCGACCCTCGAACTGCACTTTCCTAGAGCGAAGGTCTCGCGTTACTTGCGAGATCAAATGCACGTACGATCAGAGAAATGGTCGTTTACAACAATGCCAAAATATTTTCGAGCAAGAAAGAAAGATTGATGCCCGAGAAATATAGGAAATGCCAAGTGTTCCACGGCTGCCCAGGAGATGGCGCCACTGTATTCTCTCGTCGTAGGAGATTTTAAGAGGTTTCAAGGCACACGGTCGTAAACTGTCGCAAATGTGCGAATCAGCCATTATCCTTTCCCTCAGAAAGTCTCGCTGTTATGGAAAAAAAAGGGGGGACTGACACAACTAAACTTATTACGGCGCAATCCGCCAGCTACCGCCAGCTACCGCCAGCTGCCGCCCGATTAAAAGGGTTCATCCGTATGCATCCATCCATCATTCAAAAGGTTAAGCCACTAAACGTTCAGCCACCCTTTACTTGTGTTCATTCCGATGTTACCAGAATACGCAAGAAACGAAAGTAAATAGAAATAAAAAAATGCATTAGTTTACGCTCAAGTGAAACACTACAGCCAATCTCTCTTCCTAAATATACCTGGCGTCGTAAAAGCGGCTTAGCATCGAGTGGCCGGCACCACTGAACCGACCGACCCCAAGCAAACAGAAGCGAGACGAGAGGCTTCCTCAAATATTTGCCGCTTATTGCTGATTACGATCAGATAAGACGCTGTCACCATCTATAGAGCTACCCGTCTGCGCATATTTTCTAATATTTGACGCATCATTCTTTCGCCTAGGCCCGAAGTAATTCCGACAACGTTCTAAGCGATCATGTCGCGCAGACAGTGCGTAGATTAGATACTGTGAAACCTTCAGTCTAGTTCAGTACCAGAAGCGGATCAGGGCTCCACGAGAGATGGCGCCAGTCTGTTATTACACAAACTTCCGACTGCTTCCGACCGAGGGCGCTAAAACCTCTTAAGACACACTGGCGCCACCTATCGGCTAGCCGTGGAACACTTGTGATTTCAGTATATTTACTACTTTTTTCACTCATCATTTTTTTTTAATTGACTCAAAAAACTCGTGACAATGTTATAAACGACCGTTTCTCATAGAGAGCACGTACACTTGATTTTGCAAATGACCGCAAAAGCCTCCGTTCTAGTGAAATGCAGTTCCAGGGCCACCCCATAGATAGCGCCAGCGTGTTCTCTCGTCGTAAGAGATGACAACTCGGCCGTAAGCGAGTGTGTGAAGCAGCGTTTCTCTCGATGTCGCCGAAAGCGCTAATAAGGGCTCGTAAAACAGTCCGCCACAGTCAAACACAAATGCCCGAGCCAACATAGTTCACCAAAAGCGGAGCAGTGCATCAACCGATAGCCTTCCATATGCGCCCAGAAAAACAAAAAAAGAAAAAAAAAAAGAAAAAAAAAAGAGCGAGGCGCCACGATCTAACCGACAGCAAAAAGAGCCCACGCACGCTTTCTCCTGCGAGTCAAGGTGCTGGACGAGCTCGTCCCGCTTGTCCACCAGCGCCACCAACTCGTCGAGTAGCAGGGCCTCTCGATCACGCTGGGCGTCCGTCTTCTGCCAGTCTGCGTTAAAACACCAACCGGCATAAAGCACACACACACAAGACCAGGCTTCTAACAAAAACAACAAAACTACACAACACTGCCCCCCGGCTTCCCCCGCACACCAAAACTGAAAAAAAGGCTCCAGCTTCGTTCGAAGAGCAGTTCACGTAACAGGCAGAAGATGACCTGTGCTCAGGCAAAACAAACTCGGTGGCGGTGCCGCGGAAGAGTCTGCCCTTCCTTTCTCCCTCCCCAAGTTTCAAGCCCGGAGCCTGAAAAGAACCCGGGTTAGAGGGAAAGGGGAGGGAGCCCTGTCCATTAGCGGCACTGCTGCTGCCAATTGATTCTCCCTGCTACCGAGGAAGGGGGGCGGGGCGGTAAGCGGCTTAGCGGCGGTCCCCGCGGACCCGCCGCTCCTTGCCTTGGAGCTGGAGGGCGTCGCGTAGCTCCCGGTTCAGCATCTCGCAGCGGCGCTCCAGGTCCTGCTCCTTCTCCCTGCAGCAGCGGCGAGACACCGGGACACGACGACGCTCAGAGTATGCTCAAAGAGAACCGTGGTTGCTCGGCCACTAATGTCGCGCGCTTAGGCACACACGCGGCGGGGACGTAACCCCGCAACTCCAAATGTAGAAAAAAGAAAAAAAAAAAAGGCAAGCCTCCAACACACACACATACAAAGACAGACAGACAGACACATGTGCAAACACACCGGCAGCCAGGAATTGGGACGCCGCGACGACGACAACGGCACTCACGCTCTCTCGTATTTTTATTCGTAACTTCTATCCCTACCGCCAGGATCGGGACATCCGACAACACGACACGCCGCCTTCTGTGACGCCATTTGTTGCCACTTTGGGGATCGCTATCGATGCACGGCTCATGATAGGGCGCTGAAAACACCAGTCGGCGACGCCTTTCAGTCACCGTAGTGACGAGCCATATTTGACTATGAGCGAAGCAAGGACGATGCGGAGATATTCATTTCCCTAGGATGGATGGATGGATGAATGCGGCTGAGCCCTTTGGATCGGGCGGTAGCTTATGCCACCTAGCCATTTTGTTTTACCATTTAAGCTTAGAATATTTAAATGTGAAATCTATATTCACTCCGCACTGCAAAGAAAGTGGGGCTATAAACCCCCCTTGCCATCAGTTAATAAGAAAATACCTAGTTTTCCCTCGCTTTCTGCCACCATTCACTTAATCTTTGCTTGGTAATCTCTACAGTATTGAAATCCACTCTCCCTTCACTGTCTCCAAAACCCAATGACTTTATTAAATCCATGTTGTCTTCGGTAGGCATAGGGTGAAGCCCTTTACAGTAGATTATCAAGTGCTCAGCCGTTTCGTCCTCCTCTCCACAAGCAGTCCACACTGTATCCATTTCCTGGTACCTCGCTCTGTATGTTCTGGTTCGCGGAACACCCGTCCTCGCCTCAAACAACAATGAGCTTCCCCTAGAATTGTCATAAATGCTTTCTTTGGCAATAACTGTTTTGTTTAATCGATAGGTTCCCAGAGCCGTCTTTGTCTGCATTCCGTCTGGCCACCGATCTCTTTCTGTGGCCTTAACTTTCTTCTTAACTGAGACCTGGTCTTCCGCATCTCCAATATAGCCTAAAAACTTTCCTCTTAATTTCCTAGTGCGCTGTCTCCACTTTGCGTCTATGCTCCTCATATATAAATAGCTGAAAACCTTTCGTGCCCATTGGTCCCCATCCATTTGCCTCAACCGATCCTCAAATCCTATCTTGCTCACCGCTTCCCTGCTCTCAAAAGACGCCCATCCCATATCTCCTTGTACTCGCTGGTTTGGCGTTTTGCAATGTGCCCCCAAAGCCAGTCTACCTACTCCGCGCTGTTTTATTTCTAGTCTCGCCTGCACTTCGGATTTCATGCATAGCACTGCGTTTCCAAAAGTCAAGCCAGGGATTATGACCCCTTTCCAAATCTATCTCACCACCTCATACCTGGGGCCCTAAACTCGTCAAACACAAAGTTGGAGCCGAAGCTGACGGAGCGCGCCGATTGGACAATCTCGACGATGACTTCGCGTTTTCCTCGCCGACGTCCAATCGGCGCGCTCCGCGAACTTTGGCTACAACTTTGTGTTTGACGAGTTTAGAACCCCTGTTGTAATTCCAAAGTGCCCTATTTTTCATTACAGCTGCATTTCTGTTGCCCTTACCTATTATATACTTTTCATGCTCACTGAGACATTCTGCACCGTCACATATCCATACTCCTAGATACTTGTATTTACTAGCTCTCTCAACTGTAATATTCTGTATTTTCAGCCTCTCAACTTCATCATTGTTAAAAATCATGACTGGTGATTTTTCACTACTGAATTCTAAACCAGGGGGGATCGGTGGCCGAGTGGGCTGAAGCGCACACCCAGCTCGACGCGCGTGGAGCGAAAGCTCGCGCTGCAGAACCCAGGGATCCTGGGTTCGAGCCCCACCCCTGCCCGTCTCGATCTGGATGAGCATCGTACCGGCGTGCGGTCGTGTATCACTACTGCGTGGTGCACGTTAAAGACCCCAGGCTAGCGGTTGTACTGCACTGGCAAAATTGCTCATCTACAGTGTAAACCAGTGTCGCCCCTACTGGCAGACCAACCTTACGCTGTATAAAAATCCCTCAAACGTCCAATTTGACTTTTTGATTTTAATTCTAAACCTAATTCCTCTCCTTCCCTACCACAGATGCTCATTAATTCCTGCAACTCTGTCCGGTTGTTAGCCATTAGTACAATATCATCCGCATACATCAATCCCGGTAAGGATTGCTATACCACTATTCGAGACTCCCTCTAGCGGACGCAACTTGTATCACGCGGGCCCGGATGCGCGAGGGCGGGTAGCCTTTATTTGGACGAAAAGAAACACGGAGCGCTGTTGACTGAATGACACCTCACTCACAGCAGGTTGAGTTGCATCTGTCGTCGGATGAGGGCGTTCTTCTCGTTCACCAGGGCAAACCAGCGTTGCATGCACCGGTCTTCCTCGGCCTGGTTCCCTGCATGCGCGCGCAGAACACGACACATCTCAGCGCAATCTAAAGCGATCGCCGCGGCAGGCACATCTTTGAATATCTCTTTCGCGATCGGTCGCCTATTCGACCTGACGTAGTGGGTAGGACGCGGTCAGCTAGTGGACAGGCATCGTCCCATCTCCAACCACGTGCCTGTGCATCGTCTCCAATGCCCTTGGAGAAAAAAAAAAACAAACACAACAACAAAAACAATGCACTAAAAGTATAACGATACCCCATACTCCGCCGACGCCTTAATAGGGAGTTTTCTTAGATCGTTTTCGCCGTCCAACAACTTCCTCCGCAACCCGCTACGATACCCGGAACTCTACGGTCAAGGCTATCGGCGCGCAGGCGCAGCAGTAACTTCGTTGCAACCCTGAAGGCGAGGCTAGCGGCGCGCATGCGCAATAGCGGCGTCTTCGCTCAGGAGAGCGTAGCGGAACTGAGAGAACGGTCTACGAAGACTCCCTAATTAGTGCGCGCATCGTATCGTTATCGGAGTTATCCAAATGATTTACTAAAACACTCTAACGTAAACGGGAACCTTTCGGGTATACTAGATTTTTGCAGACGACCTCTCCGGCTATATAGTTAAAAGGACACTACCGCAACTCAAGGAATCACCGCGCCTGATCACTAGCTGTGACTCAACCGTGCGCTGCACTAGTACGGATAGCTGGCATAGCCTTCGCAGTGATTCACCTTCAGCAATGATGAGAGAGCGCATTCTTTCGCATTCCCGACAAAGGTTAAAAGACTGGCTGTTACCACGCGGTCTTGATTCTGGCACACCGAAACCTCCAAATACTCAGAAGGAAGGAGCACACGAGTATGGCATATACACGGATTAAAACGAGCAAAACATGAGAACATGTCCCAACTATATGGGAGTAAATAAGTGATACATTTTATTGAGCAAAAAACAAGGTAGAGAAAAAAGTATGCGCGTTGGCATTTTATAGTAGTTGAAATGTAGCACGTTGGCAGTGGGTGGGTGGGGGGGGAGGGGGGGGGGGGGGGCGGCACGGAAATAATTGCGACACGAAGACAGAGCAATAAGCGGAGCAAAGCATTATGCGCTTAAGAAAAAACACAACTTTTCAGAGCGGGCTTAACACAATTCTAGCGAGTTACGAAAATTCCGAGAGCTCGATTAAAAAATGTCAAGCTTCTCTATATACCCGTTGTAGCATTCCAGTAACCTAGGCATTGGGCTTATTTTAGATAAAGATCTAGATACATAAACGGGTGAGTTAAGCCTTGCAGCCACTCTAGGAACTCTAACATATAGTTCGGATAAAAAAAACTTGGAGAACCAATGCATTCGTGCAGGGTCTTAAACAAAAATAATAAATCTGCCTTCTCTCGGCGTCGATGCATATATAGTCCAAGCAGTCTTACATGCTTACAAAAACCTCGTGATTCAAAGTGCTCATCACTTGTCAAAAAACAATGCTAAAAGATTGATTTTTTTTTTTTGCAGTTTCAATTTTTAGCAAACGACTGTAACCTCAGCTAGAATACGTACCACCGATGCGCATTCTAGATGAGAATGACTCAGTGAAGAAAATGGTGTGTCAAGCGACACACCATTCCCAAAGCTCGTAACGACGCACTAACTATTCTTCACACATGAACATCAAAACGCAGGCTCGAATCGAAGAAAACATCGAGATCTCTAATCTCCGTTACACGAGACAATAAATTTCCGCCAATACAATAAGAAAAACTATTTTTTTTTTTTTTTGTTTTACGGGAAAACGTCATTTTTGTTTTCAAACAATTAAGACGATGATTATTTTCTTTGCACCAAATGTTGAATGTGTTTGCGTCGGTCTGCAGCGCTACGGAGTCGTGAACAGTTCGAATTTGTCAGTAGATTATCATCAACATACTGGAGAAATAAAGAATGTGAGATAGAGAGAGGGACATCATTCGCAAATGTAGAAAATAGGAGGGGGTCTAAGACAGATCCCCGAGGCACACCCGAGTTCGTTCTGTAGGTTGTGGAAGTCATTTGATTAACTGGAACAAAACTCTTCCTATGCAGTAGATAACGTGCGAACCATTCAAGCATTTCTCCTCCAATACCACAGTAAAAAAGTTTGGACAGCAGGATTTCGTGATCCACAAGCCCAGTGGTTCTCAGCAGTTAAGCCCGGCAATAACATCATCATGTCTTTTCTCAGATATTGAGAAGAAAGCTTCCAATTTTCGGGTAAGTTTTCTCGTGCATGTGGTAATACGAGAAGCATAGCCCTTAGTTATATCCATTTATTAAATCACTATCATAATTAACTGATGTCTTTCCCTTACCCTTACCACGGACGGGGTCCTTCATCATCTTCGTCGATCCACAAGGGATCCGTGAAGAATTGAGAGGAATTGAACTGGTCAAACGCCTTGCGCAAATCAAAATAAACTACATCGAGCTGGCCCTGTTTACACACGACACGTGAAGCAGTTCAAGTAAAAGTAACCAAATTAGTTGTCGTCGACCTGCCGGGAACAAATCCGTGCTGGTTGGGAATGAAAAAAAATCTAAACGAGAACAGTACACATTTATGAACCACCATTTCAAAACGCGTAAAGAAGGGGCTCAGAAGGGAGATCGTTCTAAAATTAAATGCATCCCCCCTTTTTCCTGACTTATGGACAGGAATAACCACAGCGAGCTTCCACATATCTGGAAAAACACCATAATTTAATGAGTTGTTAAACATCTCAGACAGCGCGGGGCTGAATAAATCACGATAAGTTTTAATTAGAGCTGAAGGTATTCCTCCGTGACCACCAGCCGACAACTTCGGTTTAATCTTTTTAATACACTCTTTGACCACTTCACGTTGATTGAGATCGAATGGAGGATGTTGTCAAGCCCAGCCGAATGAGAGTCATGAGAATGTCACTTATCTGATCTGTGTAAACTGACGTGAAGTGATTGTCAGAAATTTCCGCGGCGTTTTCTTCAGCGACACCATCTAGAACGATCGTATTTGGTCTGTCTGCCTTTGCTGTATACGCGAGCCAACGTACTGCCAGAACTTTTGGGGGTTATGATATAACTCTGACTCCGCCTCCCGGCGTGCCTGGCGATCCCGACTTATTACTTTTTTACATTCTTTGCTGGCCTGTTTGATCTCAATATATATAGATTTTTTTTTAAATTTTCTTTTGACAGGCGATTTAGTTATGTGTCAGAAGTCTACCCCATCAATATTTTGCTACAGCACCACGTATATTTCTATTAAGGTAAAGAAAAAACGGAAAAAAAACTGACTGTTTAAAATTGAACAATGCATTTTTTTAAACATTTGCAGTTTTTTAGAAGTTACAAAAAATCGGTATCATATTTTTTTTTCCTATTTATTGTATTGAGCGTGTGCCTTCGATGACCCACGACTTTGATTAAATTTGCTGGTCGCGTCGAAATTTTAGAAAACGGCCCATGACCACGGAGAAGAGTGAGCGCGACTCAAACCGGCCAGTTCTCGATCAGCCGGGGCGGAAAGAACACGAATTTCGAGCAGCAAATTGTGTTCTAGGTAGTTGGGCTCTCATGTGTCATGTACAAATAAAAAAACCTCGGCGAGCATAAATATCCTGTCGGCGGGGCCCAGTCAACTTCCCAGAAATAGTGATAGAGTCCAACATAATTTCTTTTCGTAGGCGGCTTGAAGCGCGAATTCGCTTCAAGCCGCCTACAATAGGGAACATAATATCCAGCACGGGATGATATTTACCTTGCGGTACTATTGGCATTTCGCTCAAACTCAGGCTTAAATGATCAAAGTTAGAGAAGCACGAATCGAGAGCCTTGCCCCGGCGGTTGTGATTCTCGTTGTGCTGTGTTAAACCTACAAAAGCGGCGAAGAGTAAACCAATTTCACATCCGCGAGACATAGAACTTGTTCGCTGAAACGCTGCAATTTGTCCAGTTGATCCCCGGGGTGTTAAAATCTACCAATATTAAACAATTATGAGAGCCAAGCTTGTTGAAAGTCTTTTCTATATCTGTAAGGCATTTGCTAAATTCGTCCAGGGTAACTTGAGGAAACAAGTAGAAAACGCCAATAAGAACCCGTCCGCGGCGATTGTTACAAATCTCCACCCATAAAGACTCGGGGCGCTTTTCTATAAATCTAAGCGTCTAGACGCGACGAGGCGTTCGTCGAGGGCAACTAGGACGACACCGCGCATTTTCCCTGCTCCAGACCCTTCACTATCGTGACGATGAACACCAAAGTTGGGAGGGAAGTAATTAGAGGACGCGATGCCTGAACACAGCCAGGTTTCTGTTAAACAAACAATAGACAAGCCTGATAAGCTAACATTTGAAAAAGAAAAAAAAAAGTATCCGCCTTCGTTTGCAGGCCTCGAACATTCTGATAATAAATATCTACAGTGCCGGGTCAGTCAAAGCCGAAGTCGGTTTTTGTGCCTGAAACCCGGCCGCCAGCGAGCGCTGGAAAATTAACACAAATTAATCCGAGCAAACTACAAATGTCGGTTACACAAATTAAGAAAAAAAAATCACTTATAACTAATAGCGAGTTCGTTTCACGGCACTCGTGCACACTCGCAGCGGGTTCGTTTCAGCCGGCACCCCACGAGTGGTTGCACTCTCCGAGTTCGTTTCGACGCTGGCACCCCACGCGTACATGCGCTCGCTGCACCGAGAAAATCAGGAGTGCGCCAAAATGCAATCCCGTCATGCCTCGCTCCGGCAGGAGCGGGAGCAGGCGACGAGGATTCGTCTGCTACGATGTGTCGCGGAACCGAAAGAAAAAAAAGAAAAAGATTATCTTATAGAAATCGCGTCCCGCGGACAACGGAATCAAACACGAGCTTGAATTGTGAACGTCTGCTATTTCATGAAGGAAGCAATTGACACGCCGTGCTTTATTTGCAGGTTTTAAGTCGCTCTGTTGCCGCGCAGACGCTGAAATATACCAGTGTGTAAAGAAATGTTCAGAACAAAC